TAGATATTAATTGAAAAATATTCAATATTTATTAAAGTTATATGTATAACTATATCAAATATTGAAAAAGAATTGTAAACTATTTTCAAAAATGCTTTTATATTGAAGTTTATTTGAACTAGCTTAAGCATACCAAAGTATGTTCGATGTATAACACAACAAAAAAAGTTTTTATTAAAATGTTGTTGAACACGGTAATAAATAAAATAAAAGACCCGCAAACTGTAAACTGTGAACCGGTAAATTGTAAATTTAACCGAATTGCCTGGCTCTAAATTAAAACTACAGCATAGTCATAAGAATAAATATATTTCTTATGACCATGACTACAGTAAATCGAGGCTTTTTAAATCGTTGTATCTAGCGCAACGGTACCGTCGCTACGCGTCGCTCTATTTTTTACTTAAAGTCACGGTAGTGATTTCTGATTGGTTCCTTTAATTTAAAGAATGCATGCTCAAACCGAAACCCGTAATCGATGTATGTGCGCTCCACTGCGCCTATCCCTAAATCAGTTGATGTAAATACACTCACTGCGCCTATTCCTAAATCATTATTATTATTTTTTTAATTTGTTATTTAGGTGCCCAAAGAAGTCCTAACGATCTTGTCACAGAGCACCGCAGAAGTGAATTTAAGCAGGAAGTTCACGCGAAAATATGTCCAAAGCCCGTTTCGAGCCTGGATCTCTTGCTTGTGAAGCAAGCGCTCTAATCACTACGCCACAGCCGCACAAATCAGTGGATGTATGTACACTCGCTGCGCTTATCCCTATATCAGTCGAAATATGTACACTCACTGCGCTTATTCCTATATCAGTCGATGTATGCAAATAATAAAAATCAATGTAACTTTCAATATACAACAATAATAACTTTCAATAAAAAATAGTTAAAAAACATTAAAAAAAAGATTTTTTTAAGTGAAGGATTCGATCCCAAATCACCGTGGTAAATAAACCAATGAGATACCACAATGCCAAATGTGTATTGTGAAGCTGCAATTCTTTTTAAATTTGTACAAATAGAACTTTCAAAATCAACTAATTATATTCGCTGCCGTGACTTAAAATAAACCAATCAAACTTTACTACCGTGACTTTAAGATAAAAAATTAAAACAACGGTACCGTTGCGCTAGACACAACGTTTTTTGTGTTTGAAAGTGTAAGAATATTTGGAAATAATAATTTTTTTGCTTAAACAAGTTGCTATAAAAAATCTTTTAGAGATTAAGTAGTTATATTTTCAATACTTTTATTAAACTACTTGTCTGTTGTTAAAATAAAATACTAGGTTACATTTTTAAATTCAAATTTTTTTAATAGAAAATGTGCATGAAAGTGTTTGGAAATTTCTAACTTATGTAAACTTCATAAAATGTTGTGATTTTAAAGTTTTTTTAAATTTTAACTTTTACTTGAAAATTGTTTTATTAAATAATATTAAAATAAAATAGTATAGTATGCCTAAGTGGCTGAAGAGGTTAGCTCGCTACGCTTTTAAAGTTTTTTTTTTTCTTTTAATACCGATTTTAATTAAGCAATACATTTTAGGCGGGTCTTCTAAATATTATTTAGAATACCCGGCTTTAGGTACAAATATCCGATCCATTGCAGCGGTGTGGATAACAGCGCATGCAGCGCGTTTAAAATTTTTTAAAGTTAGAAGTTTTGAGGTTATTCATTTTTATAATTTTACAATCATATTCGTAGTTACATAAATCCAGCGCTAGTTCGGCAACCATTTTTCAAATAAATAGAAGTGGCAACAACCTAATTTATATTATGAATATATCTATATGAAAACATAAAAGCCTATTTATTGTTTATATAAAACTATACGAGAGATTTTATGGCTAGTTGATTTTAATAGTATGAAAACGTAATCAGTAGCCTCTAAAATGTTTATAATGTATAAAACATAGTCATGTACATAAAAGATGAACGTAAAGCGTTTTTCTTTCATTTAATAAGATCAAATACCCAGCTTGCACATCAAATATCAGATTGCAACACCGTTAGGCCAACGTTGGTAGAAACATTGGTCAACGCTTATAACGTTGTTTCAACGTTTGCCCAACGTGGTGTGTAAGCTGAGTAGTAATGACACTTCTTTTAAATTCTAAAATTAAAGAATAAAAAATTTTAATAGAAAAAGTATACTTTCTAGCTTTTCTTGCTCATTCAGTTATATATATATATATATATATATATATATATATATATATATATATATATATATATATATATATATATATATATATATATATATATATATATATATATATATATATATATATATAATTTGAATGTTAAAAGATTATTGTATAAAATTTATACAATATATATATATATATAT